ATCCGAATATTGGGAAATACATATACCTTGGTATATATTGGGTTGCAATGAGTAGCAGTGCCTATAATCCAATTATTTACTGCTTTGCTAACGAAAGGTGAGATGATTTAGCATTGTGCTTGTCCTCTCCTCTCGTCAGCGCCTTCGTGGCCTACCCCAGAAATTACAAAAATGCTCCTTAAATTTATCTCAAAAATACCTTTCAGGTTTCGCATAGGCTTTCGCTTTGTGTTCCGGTGGCTTCCACTTATCAACTGCCCTCGCGAAGACTACCAATATTCCCAACTTTTCCCAGAAAAATTACGTAGTATGGCCATCAGCATGCAGCTTGGGAAAGCTCGTGACAAAGAATTCAAGAAACATGAGAAATCCTATAACAGCACTGGTGAGTCAGCGTTTTAGTATTAGATTAGCGTTAATTTTATTACAATGCATGGCATAGCGTTAAACACCTTGAGTGTACAACAGCTGTGCTCAAATCTAGCAAGTAAATAATTTGTATTCTATGATAGAAATAGTGGACGAGTTTTCTGCGTATTTTTTGGAAGTGTACAATTGTTATGCGTGTACAGTAGCTTGTGTACGTACACTGTGCTGGAGAATACGATATTTGTGCTAGCTGTACATGTTTTTTTCGCATGTGTACGAAACAACTACACACTGTACGAAAAATGTATCGTCTTCTACAGCAGGCATAGGAAGTGTACGGAAGCTTTGCTTGATGCCCTCAATGTTTAACATGATGAGAGCATTAGTGATATTGAGACTTCCTTCAAAATAAAACATAATTTTTGGAACTCGAGAAGATCCAACGAGAAAAGGGCATGTTAACTCATTCTTCTATACTAAAGACTGATCTTAGACGCTAGTTTATTCGGCTTAACGTTGCGACTCCCTCATGTCGTTGAAAGCCTAAATTTTGGTTTGCACCTTGCATGTCTAAGCTCTAGACTGTCAAAAGTATTCTCTTGTTGTGCCTCGGCCTTATTGAAAGCTCATAAATACGGGATATAACGACATCGTTGTGACCATCGTTATGCAAAAAGCCGCCTGTGGTGCGACGAAACAGATTTACCACGGGTTTCGCTTAAATACGAAATCATATCTCTATACTTATCTACAGCGTAACTTCATTAATTAACAAAAAGCGTAAAGTCAGCAATTGTAGATAGTCTATCCCTTTTATCATTTCTGGCCTTTTCGCTCAAAAGACCATAAAGAATGCTAAAGCTTTTAACCGTTTTTCATCAAAGGATAATTTAATATGCTAAGTATTAGGTTGAGACGAAAAGTTGAAAAGTTTGAAGTAAAAGAAAAGGACACTTCTCAAGTTTATTTCAAGAGAACGTTTTGTCTCTAGAGGTTGCAATTCTCAAGAAAATGCATTTTAAATAATTCAAAACGTGAATTTCAAAGCTACCTTCCTTACTTAGCTTGTTGTATAAGTCAGAAATCAAACGAATAACAAACATAACAGCGAATTCCGTAATCAAATATTTTCTTCTAAATTTTGATATTTTTATTTATTTTTCATTATTTCCTGGTTGTAATGGCACATTATGGGTCATTCTAGTAAATAAAATAAATGAAAAAAAATCTACGGTAAGGATTGAGAAGATTGAGAGAGGTATTGTGTGGCCAAGATGCGTAAGAAGCCCTTTACGATCGCCTTTATCTCTAACTTTGACCTAAATCAGTAGTTTAAGAGCACATTTTTGCATAGCTGATTTATCTTAAAGTTGTTTGAGCAACAATATGGAGATGCACCCATTGTTTACTATACAAAAACCACTTCGTTCGGAAACGGTTTTGCAATTATGGAACTACCGTTTTAAGATGCAGTTGACAGTTAAGTCTTGTTGAGAAATGCCACTCTGACGTAGAGCATCCCCCTGTTGCGTTGGCACTGCAAGCATGATAGTGGTTATGCATTTGCATCTTTTGTCATAAGCTGCATCTGTTTGTTAGAGATGTACTACATTTTCCTCAAAATATTTGTTTTACTTTACCTAAAGCCAATTCCTGGAATCTTATAGGAGGATTAATTTTCTAATGTCTATGATCCCATTATTTGACTGATTTTTTCCTGCATTTTTGCTCAAAAAGTGCATATTCTTTTTGTCTCAAAGTGCAGTGATGAGAAAATGTCAACTGCGGATGGAATGAAGCTCTAGGGGAAAGCAAATAGCGTGAAAATTTAACAATCACAAAAGTATGCATTCTGCATCAAAAGTTTTTTATGTTCTGATTCACTATCTCTATAACACCGTAAATAAGACAAATTGTACGATCCACTAATCTTTGCAAGAATTTAAGCTGCATACGGTTGCTGATCTTGTTAATCTTCTGCAAATCTTTCACTTACGTGTATGTTCCACTATTCTTTTTTATTTCTTACCATGAAATTTGATTTTTTAGCCATTACTCGGCCACGAGGAGTTGCTCCTGATCGCCATCGTGTGCGCAGCACCTCGAGTTGGACCCAGCTTTCAACCGCAAACGACCTTTGAATGCTTTTATGAGCAAGCCAAATTAAGTCTCTCTGTCTGTTTCTTTCCTTATTCTTGAATGTTACACATATCTTGCATTTTTTATTGAGACGTATCAGTGCTTTTTTCTGACACAAACCTTTTCATGTGTTGAACAGTGCTATTTTAATTTTTCTCAACTTTGATCTTCCCACGGGTATGCGGTTGCTATTTAATCTGTGCAGTGACTTAAGGATCTCAATAAATTATTTAATCTATATTTTTGATGATTTTCGCTCAACAATTATTCGTAATCTCGATATCCGTATGTACTATAAATCTTTTGAGTTTGAATCTAACAAATAACTGCAAGAAGCCAGCGACACATATCGCTTTCGCCGCTCAAAGGTGATAGTCAGGCCTCGGGACGAGGTCTTTAATTGAACCTTACGAGAGAATACCCGCCTAAAAATACAGAAATTTACGAAGTCCCCTTTACCTGTACAAACGCGTGCAATCAGGACAAGCCTGCAGTGGCGTATACTTGGAGCGCGTTTTCTCCATTAAGGAAAAACAATTTAGAGCTCTAGCAAGAAAAGGAGAAAGTGCTGTGATCTGGTTATTGCGCTGTAAGGGGACAAGGGGCGCCCAAAAAGTGTTTGCTATAATTAACGTAATATGAGGAACAAAAAAGTGTTTCGCTGGAGACCTACGAAAGACCTTAGGTCTCCGATTAGCAAACACTTTCTTGTTTCTCATAATTTTACGTTCCTTATAGCAAACACTTTTTGGGAACCCCTTGACTTTTTCATTCTCATAATATTTCAGAGATTTTTCAAACAATTCTTCTACTCCGTGTTGCGCATCTTTAAGCCAAATTTGGTGGCCGTTCATTGCCTATTCGCTCACAAAAACAGTTTATCTAAATTTTTTGAAACTCTTTTCAAATTCCCCGCGCTAACGCCCGCATTGAAACAAACATTGAACCTCTGCTGGAGCAGGTTTTTTAACGGTCTAAAAGTGTGTGTGGAATTACTCTGAAGTACTGAATAAGAAGAAAATACTCAGACCGCTGCATGAACATCCGCGCTAGGAAGAACCTTGTTGTGGAAAAAGGGGAGTCATAGTTGAGATTGAACTGCGGGCTCCTCTCTGGACCCCATACGATTTCCCCTTTGCTTTTTCCACAAAAACGAACTCCAGCTTGCCCTCCGGAGGCCTGCTGCCGAGCTCTGATGATAGTGCTCTCTGATATCTGTGTAAGAAATACTGGCATTTAGGACTGTACGCGTACATACTTGCTGCATCTATCGAACATCTTGCAATTACTCAATCATGAAAAGGTACAGAAACAGTGTGATAGTGCAGCGCATCCTATGTGCAAGTTAATGAAAGAAGAACTTTTGTTTTAAATGTAAGAACGAAAGTGAGTATAAAGAGTAATTTTTCAGAGAAAATCTCAAGAGCAAAGGTGTTGATAAAAAAAGTATGTTCCAAAGTTTTGCAGATTTGCATCAAATCTGTAAGGATTATTAAAATTTTGCTAGAATCTAGTTTTGCAACATGGCAACTCATAATGTTAGAAGCCATTTTTTATGCTGAGAAGTCGCTTTACCATAAAAATCAATACGTTTGTTTATTTGAAATGGGATTTCTAAGAACGACTCGGCTGACTCCGCCGTTAGAATCTCCGTTAGTTATAAGAAAATACGAACTCCGAACATCCGTAGGAACGCGCAAAATAAGATTTTCCAGTCTAAGATTCATAATCAACAAAAGCAAATTTCTTGACAAAAATTACATTCATTACTTTAACTCTATTCAAATTTGGATAGTCCTTTGACATGCTGGGTTTACTTACATTACTGCAAAAAATCCTCTTGCAAATATTGATATTATGTGAGGAAAATCTGAAGCGGTAGTACGAGCAAAGAATCACTCTTTCCTTGTAGTAATATCTTAAAATGAGGAATAAGTTCGTAGCGTTTTTATATTTTCTTATATTTTCAACAATGTTTTGCTGTTTAACAGAAAG